ACGTTGGTTCCGATAGTAACCTGACTGTTATCATGCCATCTTATCAAACACGTGGATTTATCAGCTTCTTGCTGGACATGGTTACTTCCACGTGGCTCCTTTTTGAGATTTTTCAATGGAGCCTTATCTACTCGATCGGCCCTCATTGTGCCAATACAAAATATTTGCTCTGCTTTCAGACTTTCCAAAAGTGACAGTGAGTTGAAGAAGTTATCTATGAAGAGTGTGCTGCCGGGAGGTAAATACTGCAGACATAAATTTTCTGTTACCGACGATCCGAAGGATTTGCCTTCATTTTTGTCACCAGCACCACAGTATGGATCAAATTTGAGCAAATAACCTACTGATGTAGAGAGGCACCAAAATTTGAATCCATACCTAATTGGTTTCCCTCGTATGAACTGCTTCATATGGTGGCGACCATAATAGGGCTCCATCGCTTCATCTAAGGAAACATTTTCTCCGAGAGGTGCTGCTAGCAATTGAGAGACTTCATTTACTCTGTCGATGAGGGGTTGGATCTTGTAAACCTTGTTATTAGGGTCAATCTTGGTGTTGTCGTTGACGTGTAGGTAACGGTGTATCAACTCAAAACGATCTCTAGATATACTATTGCTCACTAAATGATTGTATGTATCAGACTTTGTTTCCCAGTATATTCTTCTGGCAGGTAACTTATTGTACCCAGATAAAATCAAGATTCCAAGGTAAATGTACATTTCTCTAGTGGATACAGCGAAGTTATGGTTACCTTTAAAAATGGCGTATTTCATAGTTTCATCACAAATAAATTGTACGAATTCTTCTGGAAAAAACAGTTTGAATAAATCTATTGGTGCTAGGCCATCGTTTTTGATTTTATTTGCAACATCTGGTAAAGGAGATTTGGAAATTTTCAGTTTTTCTGGAATGGGATTCAGTAATTTTGTTTGCCACTTTCTAACTTTCTTTCCTTTTATAGACCTGTTTTGATCGTTCGTGCTGCTAGGTGTTTCATCTGTAGCTTCTTTTCGAATCTTTTTAGCCAAAATTGAAAGAGGTATATCATTTTCATCAGTTTCTTCATCACTGACAGCCGTATTTTGGGAGCCTGGATTTATTTCAGTTTTCTCACGGGATTTTTCTTTCACTGCAAAAACTTCAACTGGTTGTTTGAAAATCCCCTTTCCTAAATCATGTAGTTGAAATGGTTCCTCTTCATCGCTTTGGGCATCGTCTTTTTCGCTATCTTGGCCATCATCTGGAGGTAATAATACGAAATCAAGTCGATCACATTCTTGCAGAGTTTCATAATTCTCATCATCATCACTGATAACATCAAGAAAATTGATAAGCTCCCCGGCGTCTTGTGGGTTCTCAGGATTATACCACTTCTTCCTGAAAACAAAATTTATACATTACTTCCTATGATGTGATATTTCATATGGTGAAAAGATACTTCAATAAATGTAAAACTAACGAAAAAACTGGTTTTAATTAGTTTTGTTGGAATAAAATAAAGTACTGACTACTAAGTTTTAATAACAATTTGAGAAAAAAGTACTTATTATAGAAAAAAATAAAATATAACCTCACCTTAGCGGCATGTCTGCATAAAAAAAAAGTTTCCCGAGATATCAACTGCAGCTCTACGTACCCTTTCGAATATTTGGAAAATTTACTGATACTAACACTTAGATATACTCACAATCGACTAAGACAAACTAAATAATTAATTTTCACAAACGGCTGGACGTGTCATGACTCGCAGAGATTTGATGTTTTGGGTATGCAATATCATATCATAGGCATTACTGGGTTAAGCACTTCCTGCCACAATGATTTCATTTTAATTTTGGTTCTCTCAGTTAATGGTAATGTAAAATTATATAAGGCTGGTCTTTCCGATATCAGCCTTATTAACATCTCTTCATCATCAGCGGTTCACTCGCTCAGTCTTGCCGGTTTTCGTGGCTGTGGCTCTTATGTGGGCTCTTCTGTGACTCCAGTATCACTACCTTCATTAATATTAGTTGTTGTTACTCTTGTAATTAGGTCATTTTCACACATTTCGTAATATTTTTATAACACTGGGGATGAAAAGGCACTATCTAAAAATATATTTTTTTAATTATTCTCATGTTAAAAGCATAAAAACGCACATTAAAATTGCGTTGCGATTATGACGATGATTAAGACTGTGATTATGATTACGACTTATTCACTCCTGTTTCGTCAAACGGGCGAGTTGACGGACTTGGTCGATTATGATTACGACTTATTCGCTCCTGTTTTGTCAAACGGGCGAGTTGACGTTTGCGGTCCGTTAAGATTTTTTTTGTGAAGCATCGTTGTTGTTCATTTTTCCGTAATACATTTTGTATACGACGCTTCCTATGAAATAAAATATAGAAATATTATTACCTTTTTGCTAGAATGTAACATTTTTCAAGACAAAAAATTTCAAGAGTCTTGCAAGACAAGACAAGACTTTGCCATTCAAGAAATCTGCAAGACAAAATTTCTTGTCTCGAATTTCAAGACAAGACAAGAAATTGATTTTCAAGACAATAATTCTTGTCTTGTGCAACACTAATATGTATTAATAAAAAAGGTCGATTAGAGAGCACCTTGACACCCTGTATCTTTAAAACTATACATTTCCGGACACATGTTTATATGAATTTTTTACCTTAAAAACACTCAAAGAATCACTTCCTGAAGTTTGGCCAGATACTTAATTAACACCCTGTATTTAAAAATGGCTAGCTAGTGATTTAGTAAGCTATGATTATTTTAATAGGAAAAAAATACATTTCATAAAAAATAAACACACCCATAATACAAATACTATACACCAATTAATTAATTTTAAATGTATCTAAATAGGCACTTTAATAATTGAAAAATGGACAGGAGCACTTAAAATCACTTCATGGAGTATACTAAATATGCTAAAAATAATAATTCCAATAAAAAAACACAAATGGCACATTAAAATCTGCATTATCTGAAATCAGACTATAGCTAAACGGCTAATAAAATAATAGAGACAAGACACCGACATCTTTAACGCGATATAACAGTTTTTAATAATTATTCCGAGTTATTATTACATACTTGTTTTACAATTGTAATACAGTAGCATTCCTTCAAATAAATTTTAATTTAAGTATTGTTAATATAGCAATATGGTTTTCGTAAAAATCGAGGTACAGGGTGGTCGAAATTGGTCTGTTTTAACAGAGAAAACATATTTCCTGACTAGATAGAGCAAAACCGACATATATGTCATGGGCTCGATTTCTGAGAAACGTTTAATAGCCTAAACCGCCTGTTCATATTTTCACTGCCAACCGAGATACGGAGTCTTTATGAATTTTTTACCATTTGGAAAATTATCCATAACTTTTGTATTTCCCGGTATAAAAAAATTCTGTAAAATCGTTATTAAGGCACTTTTTTAGGCACAATCCAGTGGCGTAGTCAGCTTTTTTCTATGCTTGCTCTTTTTGTCAGAAATAATAAAAAATATAATTTTTGAAATGGAAATCATAGTTGGCTATGAACTTAAAAAAATGCTGGCGTTTTACCCTTTCCAATGATCTAAAGTTATGGATATCTATTTTTAAGAATAAGAGAAATATTAGGTTTTTGATCTTTATATCGAAGCGGGCCTTGACTTTGTGTTGACCTATTTGCCTAATTATTTTTTATCACAATTTAATATTCAATATTATTATTTATCTACATAATTAAAGACTTTTGAAAAGGTAAATTAACATTCTATATTAGTATTAGTAATTACGAGTACAAATGAAATCGATACAATAAACAAAGAATAAAACTAAAAAAAAAGTATTTCTTGAGTGACGGATATAGTTTTCTAAGAAAATCATCAAAGATGTACAAACTGAGCACCCCCTTGTTGAATACACAATAAATATCTTGTGCGCACAGAGTTACAACAATTCATTAGGCGAACTGATGTAATAAGTCCAAAAGCTTGCCTAGTAGCCTTTTGTTATTCTTTCTCTCGTCCCAATGGTTCTTCCCTTATATATAAGGCCTTTTAATTTCCCCCATAAAAAAAGTGGAAAGGAGTTCATCACAGGAGCTAGCAGGCCAAGATATGGGATCCCTTGTTCCAATCCAATTCTCTCTATATTCTCCATTTAATAGTGCAGTTGTAACTCTGGCTTTTTAATTGTAAATGGTAAAACTAATATAGAATGTTGATTTACCTTTTCAAAAGTCTTTAATTATGCAGATAAATAATGATATGGAATATTAAATTGTGATAAAAAAATAATTAGGCAACTATAGGCCGACACTATATGCCAACTCATATAAGCACACCTAACTCAAAGAATATGGTGTAGGGACGCGATATCGTTTGAAAAGTATCGATACTTGGTATCGAATAAGTATTGTATAAATAGTATCGATGCCTACTAAGTATCGAAAAGAAAGTATTGATACCTACTAGTATCGAAAAAATATCGATTCCACAATACCAACATGCCATCTATGGATACCATACAAAAAAAGTAAAGTGTAAACATGGTGTAAACCAGTTAATTATTCTATGGTTTAAACACGTTTTGTGTAAACATTGTTTTCTCCATTGAAATTTGAAATTTTTGTTTCTTAAGCCCCGTTCTCAGAACTTGGTCTGTGCTCAGAACTGCGACTGTCGACAGCGACACTCGCTGTTCTGAGAACGGGGCTTTAATCATGTACTAATTCTTTTGATAATCTGCATTGTCCAAAAAAAAAATAACAACCATTGGATTGAGAATAAAAGAGTTGAAGCAATTTTTTATTTTTCCCTTGCTAAACAAAAACTTACACTTTGTTTATTGAAAAGTTTTTATTTTGAGTAATATTTACTTTTATATGTATTATGCAAAAGACGTTATCTATTAGGTTTAGAAGAAAATATGCACCGTAAAAAGATAGAATGGGTACAATCAACAATGAAATAAAAAATGTTTCTTAATTTAAAAATAAAACACATGTTAACATTTATATTTATTGATTTATTAAAGGAACCATTCATCTTCACTGCAATCTGCTAGAAATAACAGTTTTTCTAACAGATTACTAGACAGACGATTTCTGTCTTGCGTGACCGTACCACCAGCTTTAGAAAAAAGCCTTTCAGATGGTACTGATGTTCCAACAATACAAAAATGTGAAACGGCAATGTTGTAGAGACCAGGAAAGACATTTTTCACTTCCTCCCAGTAGGACATTGGATCTGAATTAAGGGGCATTACAGGATTAGATAAATAAACTGTCAGCTCATCATTTATTTTTGAAGAAGTCTGCTGACTTTTTTGATTTTGGGCATGTGCCAGTGTTTTGTGGTAATCCCAAAAATCATATTTTTCTTGATCTTGCATATTGGGTGATCCTTGTTTTGATGAATCAGATCTATCTGACTCACTGAAGGTTTGTTGGCTAGCAATTGTTTTTCTAATGTACTCAATTGTTTTGGAACAACCAAGCGGGTCTTCAAAGTGTATTCTTTTAAATCTTGGATCGAGTATACATGACACTGATAAAAAATAATTGTACTCCATCTTACCAAATCTTTTATTTATTTCATCAATCAATTTTGATTTAAGTGTATTAAGTGTATTCACAATATCCAACTCTGTAGTCATCTTTCTTAACTGGTTTTTTAAACAGTTCACCATAGGTATTATTTTCGATATTGTTATGTAGAATTCCCCTGAAGCCTCTCTAGTGACAAATTCCAAGGGTTCTAATACAATTTGAATTTGTCTAGCCAAATCTAACTCCGTGGCTGTTAACATTGGCGGAGCTGTTATGTCATTTATAATAATTTGATTGACAGTTGTAGCTAGTTCCGAAAATCTTTTCAGCATATAAAATGTTGAATTCCATCTCGTATGTACGTCAAGAATCAGTTTTTTTGTTGTTCCTTCGGAGGCTTCATTGTCAAGTTGTATCTTCCTTAATTTATCACTAACTGTCACACTTCTCTTAGCCCACTTGACAATGTCTCTCACTTTACCCAAAATTGGCAAAATTAAGGTATCTTTAGTTATTACCTCAGCTATTAAATTTACTGTATGGGCAAAGCAAGGCATGTGTTTGTTTCGTCCAAATGTTTTTGCAACAGCACTTACTACATTTGCGCCATTGTCTGTTACTACACCAACAATCTGTTGTTTGTTAATTTTCCAATAGTTTAAAATATCCTCTAATTGTTCACTAATGTTGTCACTCGTGTGCCGTTCAAATAATTGTCTAGTGGCTAGAGTGACAGATGACAATTTTACTCCTGTTAAAAAGTGTGCTGTGACACCAAGAAAACTTTTGGTTTGCATTGTTTCAGTCCACATGTCAAACGTGAGACAAATATATGTAATTTTACTCAGGCGTTCCTCATATATAGATTTCATGATATCATATTTTATAGCTAATTTCGCTTTGAATGTGTCAGGATGAGGAATTTTATATGAGGGACATAATTCATGCATTAGTTTCCTAAACCCTGCACCAGTTACTGAATTAAAAGGCCTGCTGTCTTTACAAATAAAGTAGAGGATACACTGTGTAATGGCAGCATGCTTTGTCCCTCCCTCTGTAACAAAAATAAAAAACACTATATATACGTTATAGTTACGTATGTATACTAACTTTATATATTTTACCTTTATATGATGTAATTTTCTTTAAGGCATCTTTAATGCTAGGTGTAAATGAATGAAGAGTAGGATCAGGTGTTTTTGAAGAGCCAATATTTTTGTTCGCCGTATTATCCTTATCCATTTGAGTGGTTAGTTCACCCGTTCCAGAATCTCCAAGGGGATGGTCAACAGCACTCGAAATTGAAGTTGTTACCCACGTAGATAAAGATGACCTGTAAAGGTTGTATTTCTTATAATCTAGTTTTCTTTACAAATGCAAATTCTTTATAACACAAAAATATTGATTTTTTGTATACCTGATTTTTTAATAAAAAAACATACCTTAAGCGCTTAGAGCTACTGGGACTACCGGGAGTACTGCTAGGACCAGCTATTACATCAGACTCTGACAGTCCTGTTTCACTCTCACTATCAATAATTATTGAACTTGAACTAGCGTTACTGCTACCACGATGTTGTTTTAAATGTTTGGCTAAATTAGAAGTATTGCCACTTGTTTTTATATGCTTAAAGCATATTTTACACGCAGCAGTAACACTATCTAATTTGGTAAAACTTTGCCAAATTTTACTTCTTGGTGGAGACATATTCTAGATTCTCTTAATATTTAACAATTAAAAGCTGGCAATGGTCACAAAACACTCTTGAAACACAACCAGGAAAAAAAACACAATGAGAAAAAAAATCAGGAAAACCATGGAAAACTTTGCACCTCTGCAGAACGAAAAACAAAATGTAAAACCAGAGTACGTAGACCGCCGAGTAGCGACAGAAACCGTCGGCTCTTTTGATGTGGTGGGACCAAATTTTCTTTCTCTCTCTTATCACGTGCTTGACAGATAACCTACATATTTAACTGCTCAACTTATGAAGTGGTCCTATAAACGTGGTATACACTGCTCACAATTTGAAGTGGAATTAATTATGAAGTTTTATACATATTTTTTCTGTTTTGTTTTATCCTTATTTCTAAATTTGAATGTATAAAATATCTTACAGCTAATAAATAATTAAAAAAAACATTCGTTGCCTGAGGTATACTTCAAATAAAGTATATAGAGATATTTGATAAATGGCAACAGTGGCAACTTCGCTTCTTCATATGACAGATAACCTACATATTTCGCGCAGCCGCAAAGAAAATTGAAAACGGGACTGTCGCTACTCGGCGGTTTGTTTACTCTGGTAAAACGATATAAAGAATATAAAGTCAATTGTCAATGCCAATGCCTAGAACATTAAAAACACCGCGTTGAAAAAACATTTTCAAAATAATCTGTCTCTCTTTATTCTAGAAGTTACAACAGAGTAAAAACTAACCCAAACAAGTCAAATTAAGAATCAAATGAACAAACTTTTGCGGTTCACGTATAGTCCAACAGGTGGCGGCAGCATGCCAATATTATTAGTAAATATACTAAAACTAAAAGTATCGATATTAGTAAAAGTATCGATAAAATAGTATCGATAATGAAATTACTTGGAATCGAAACAAAGTATCGATACCATACTAGTATCGAAGTATCGTTCGTATCCCTAATATGGTGTACAATTTACCTTTATCACTCTCTGAACTGACTTATGCATTACACCGCAGCAAAGATACCTCCACAGGATTGGATGGTATCAGAATAAGTATTATTAAAAACCTGCCGCCGTCTGGACTTAACTGCATACTTGAATTATTTAATAAAATCTGGGATGCATCATATATTCCCACAGCATGGAAAACATCAATCCTTTGTCCCATTCATAAACAGGGTAAAACCATCACCAATCCAGATGCCTACAGGCCCATCAGCCTTACGCCACATTTATGTAAGATTCTTGAGAAAATAATAAACTTCCGCCTAAGCTGGTACTTAGAAAAACATGGTCATTTACTATCAGACCAGTTTGCATATAGAAAAGACAGATCCGCAATTGATCATCTAATTGGCTTTGAGATAGATGTTCAAGACTCGATGAGATTTAAAAAACATCTGACAGCGGCTTTCCTTGACATAGATAAAGCTTTCGATAATATTGATCGCGCCACAATACTGTATAGCCTGACAAAATTCGATATTACAGGAAATATGTTTAAATTCGTAAATAGTTTCTTGAGCGATAGATTCTTTAAGGTTCGAATTGGGCATGCAGTCTCTGAGATCTTCCCACACAATGGCGGAATCCCACAGGGTTCGTCTATTAGCCCGACGTTATTTCTTCTTGCTGTGAACGATATCAGATCATCATTGGATAAACGGGTTTCTCTCAGAATGTTCGCGGATGATATCGTAATATATCATTCCTCTACGGAAGCAGGATACAGTCAGAACATCATACAAACTTTACTAAATAAACTTACAAAATGGTGTACGGGGAAAAACATCAATTTCTGCTTCCAAATCGGCTGCAGTTCATTTCTGCCGCTAAAGAAACTGCTCGAGGACCGTTAATCTATATATTGGCTCTGAACGAATAAACTCCCAGCATGAACAACGATTTCTTGGCATTACCTTTGACACACTTCTCAATTTCAAAACCCATATCAGCAACTTAATCTCTAAATGCCAAACTATTCTTAATATTATTAAAATTCTATCTGGCACCACCTGGGGGTCAGATCATGTTTCTCTTTTGAGGGTGTACAATGCTTGTGTCTTATCCAAAATCAATTACGGGTCTCAAGTTTACGCGTCTGCACCGCGGTCTTATTTAAATAAGCTGAACGCGGTACATAACATGGGAATCAGGAAATCACTGGGCGCTTTTCACACGAGTCCCATACCATGCTTAATGTGTGAATCAGAACAACTCACACTAAATTATATTAGAGAACGACACCTATTAGCATATGCGTTTGGTCTACATGTTAATCTGGAACACCCTAATCACAAAAAATTCTTCAAAATTATTTACCCCCAAATCAAACATAGATACAAACAGTATCAATCAGCATCACACCACCGTTATGTAGATATAAAGGAAAGACTGTCAATCGATTTGCCTCCTCCTTTCAATATTGCCCGTATGTTTCCCCCATGGAGTCTGCACCCATTCTCACTTGACCTATCACTCAAAGTCCACAACAACAAGGAATGCTCACATCTCACTATAAGAGCACAATTCAAAGATCTCATCAACTCGAAGTATAAGAGTCATCGACTGGTTTACACCGATGGCGATGGCTCGAAAACTGATAGGCACACTGGAGTGGCTTTTCATACGTTTGATAAAGAAATGTGTTTCTCACTAAGTCCCATAACGGGAATATTCTCAGCAGAACTTTTTGCAATATTTAAGGCCATTCAACATATATTGACCTCCAGCTATAAGAGATGGGTCGTGGCTACCGATTCATTGAGTTCCATTTCAAGTATTTCCTCTTTCTACTCCAACCATCCACTAGTTATAGCAATCAAAATGCTTCTACAGAAGGCCAATATCAACCACTACAGCGTCACTTTCCTTTGGCTTCCGAGCCACATAGGAATTCCTGGCAATGACAGAGCTGACTACTTGGCTGCATTTCAAGTCCCAACCCTCATAAAACCAACCTTGTTTTCTCCGTGCAAGATCTAAAGAATTATGGCAAACATATGATCGATAATATAATCCAACTAGAATGGGACTTAGACATGAATGATAATAAGCTTCATGAAATCAAAAGGGACTATTTTGAAAATAATGTAATTAACTTACCTAGAAGAGAGATTTCGTTGTGCTCACTAGAATTCGTTTAGGACACACGAAACTTACCCATGAACACCTCCTTAAAGGAAAGAATCAGCCCATTTGTGAAACATGTAATCTTCCTATATCTGTCAAACACATTATCTTTGAATGCCCAAAGAACGCGTTAAAACGAAGACAACACGGTATCGTGGATAACCCTGAGGTAGCCCTTTCCTACCAAAATAACAAGGCTATGTTGGATTATATAAAGGATATCGACATATATAAAAATATATAAATAATGGGATAAAGTGACGCTAGAAGACTCTACAGTCGATGCGTCTTTAACACATATCTCTCTCTCTCTCTCTCTCCAAATGGTAAAAAATTCATAAAGACTCCATATCTCGGTTGGCAGTGAAAATATGAACATGCGGTTTAGGGTATTAAACGTTTCTCAGAAATCGAGCCCATGTCATCTATGTCGGTTTTGCTCTATCTAGTCAGGAAAGAGGTTTTCTCTGTTAAAACAGACCAATTTCGACCACCCTGTACACTGGACCACTTAGTAGGTATGGAGATGGATATTCACGAAAATTTTTTACACAAAAAGCATTTAATCGCTGTGTTCCTAGACATTAATAAAGCATATGATATGTGCTGGAGATTTAATGTCATAAAAACTCTTTATAAAATAGGACTAAGAGGATCATTACCACTTTTCATACCAAATTTTCTTTGCCAGCGTGAATTTCAAGTTAGAGTCAACAATGTTCTGTGACTCCGTCTCAACCTCTAGAGAACGGCATGCCTCAAGGGTCTGTTTTGAGTTGTTCTTTATTTCTTCTATCTCTTCTTGACCTCCCTACATATATCTCCCCTCACATATCTATCCGCATGTTTGCCGATGACTGGGTTATTTACTATTCTTCTAGATCACCCAGAGTTTATCAGAGAAAAATCCAACAAAATCTTAATTCCCTTCGAAAATGGTCTAATTGCACTGGATATTCCTTTTCTGCTTCCAAGTCCTCTGTAATGCACTTCTGCAAAATAAGAAGTTGCACTCAAATTGATGATATTAAATACCAGAATCATCCTATTCCTAGTGAAGATCAACATAGGTTTCTTGGATTGATCTTGGATAGTTCACTATCATGGAAGCCTCATATATCTTATATTAAATCAAAGTGTCTCAAACATCTCAACATCATTAAGGCTTTTGGTAATTCTAAATGGGGTTCGCATCCAACTTGTCTTCTTCAACTACTTAATAGTTCTATACTATCTAAACTTGACTATGGTGATGTTGTCTATAACTCTGCCACAAAGTCTTATCTAAAATCTTTGGATACAATCCTCCACCAGGGGCTACGATTATCTTTGGGTGCGTCTCGCACTACACCGGTGGAGAGTCTTTATGCCTTATCAGGATGTTCTTCCTTGCATCATAGGAGAATTCTCCATACTCTTAATTATGGAATATCCATTAAGTCAAAGCCCTTTTTGATTAACTGTGGTAAGTTCTTCGACTTACAAGACAGTGAAACGTATACTGTTCATCTAAAATACCAACGCCCCATTAATATAAGATACCACCTATTTTCGTCCCAACAAAACATTCCTAATATCCCTGTATCCACTTTTTCCGACACACTGCTCCCTCCATGGAAGGATCCTATTTCTGTTAATATGGAACTTTGTAAATTAAAAAAGTCTGAAACATCCAGATATCTTTACAAAACTAGTCTAATACGAAAATCTTAGACGAAAAATATCGTGGCTATATTTGTTTTTACACAGATGGCTCGAAATCTGACCAAGGTGTTGGTTGTGCTTTTTACAGCCCGATTGCTAATAAAAAAATCAGATTACCTAATTTCTCTGGCATTTTAACAGCCGAACTCACAGCTATTTATCAGGCTCTTATCCAAATTCAGAGCATGCCACCGATTGAAGCATTAATACTATCTGATTCACTTAGTTCCCTCAACAGTATTGCTTCTTTAAACTCCAAAAACTCTCTAACCTGCAGCATTCGATATTTAGTATACAGGGTTGTTCACCACATACGACTCGGAGTATTGTAGCTAAACGATTAGATTTTTAAAAATTGTAAGTTTTGGGTTCGTTGAAGGACTATTAGAGCTACAATTTAAAAATATTTTTACAAGATACAGAGTGTCCCAAATAAGTAAAAAATATTATAGTTGTATTTTTT